CTCAAAAGTATACATGTGTGCTTATATGGGCCACCGTTAGCACTTTGAATTGTACTTTTTATATTTAGATGAAAGAGGAAGGTTATCAAACTCTAAATGAATAGTGCTAACGGGAGCAGAGTGACAGTGGTGAACTGTATTAGTAGCTAAAGCTCTAAAATGAATCGGGTTATTATTAGTTCCTTAGTTTCAGGTACATTCTAGAACAGCACTATCCAATAGAACTTTCTGCAGTGATGGCATTGTTCTATATCTAGTCTAATTATGTTTAACACAGTAGCAACCAGCTACCTGTGGCCACTGAACACTTGAGATGTGACTAGTGCTACAAGTGATTTTTAATTAATTAATTTTTTTAAATTTAAATTTAAATAGCCACAACTGGCTACATCAAATTAGTCACTGCAGCTCTAGAATCATAAAAAAGACCTTATGACTACAAGTGATTTTTAATTAATTAATTTTTTAAAATTTAAATTTAAATAGCCACAACTGGCTACACCAAATTAGTCACTGCAACTCTAGAATCATAAAAAAGACCTTACGGACTTTAGTGTCATATTTTGAAAAACTGGTGTAAAGTGAAGACTAATCTCCAAACCAGAATGAAACATAATAATTTAATGAAACATAAACTGAACCAAAGTTTATATATACGTATATACAATTTTTATTTTAAACCTAAAGTGTAGACATTTTCCAAAACCAGTAATGTGGGATAAAACTAAATCAACAAGACACCAATAAGTCTCTCAGGTTTTGTGGATAATTTTTACATAAGCTTAGCAGTCTTCCCCACTGAGATAGGATTTGACAAATATAACTGAATTTCTTGCAGTTAACAAAGCAGATGCATTCTTTTTGTAGTGTTGCTTTTAAAAGTGTCCCTCAACTGACGAGCACTGCTGATCATGCCATCAGATAGATAGATATACATTGTGCTAAATGGCTGAAGGACTTTATATACAAGCTACTGTGAAATGACTACTATTAGAAGTGTCTATGATGACTGGGGTTTTAAACATTTATGTATTAGTAAAGGTTCATAGCTTCCAAGTAAAAAAATTGATTCTGCCTATCTTAATGCCAAAAGAAGGTCACTGGAAGGGTTTTGGAATCTCTTAGAGAATCAGTAGGGGAACAGAAGAACCAAATAGTGGAGACCAGAAACCAGGGGCCTGTTCTAGGGCCTTAAGAGCCTGTGAAGGACCTTCTTCTAGGGTCCAGCCAGCTCCAAAGACTGCTAGCTCTGCCTCTTGGGTCCAAATGTCACGAGTCTAGGGGGAGACACTGATCGGCCCAACTTGGATCAGAAGTCTACCCCTAGACCAGTCAGCTCTGGCTAGGGCAGGGGTGGATTCTAGGTTTTGTGGGGACTACATATAATCTGCAGAGCCCTCTTTAAGAAAAAGAATTAAAACACCAACTACAATGACTGCAGCACTCTGAAGAAACCTGGGCAGAAGAAATCACATATATTAAGTGCCTATGGCCACTCCCAAGAGGGGAAGTGAGACCAAAGAAAAACTGATGTGGGAAGAGCCTATGGTCTTAAATGATGGTGGTTGAAAGGTCTTTCTTTTACATATTTTATAAAAACATTTGACTATGTGAGCACATGGTTAGGGCCTCTCCTAAGACTTTGGAAGGAACTTGTGCAAGTGAGGGGACTGAAGCTTAATCATCATTAGTTTCATGGAAACAGTATCTTCTTTTTAAGGATGGGGCACTGTGGTAACAGGAAGAGGAAAGTTTCATAAAGAAGGAAGGTGCTGGGAAGACAAAATGACAGATGACCACTATACCTTGACCCCTCCAACAGTCATCTCATGTAGCTGCAGGTTCCTGAAGAACAAACACTTTTTATCATCAAGTCTTTTGCCTCAAATCCCCAGGTGGTTTCCAATTCTGATGAGTTATGCTGGACTTCAAGGGGGCTGTGTTGACCGCTTATGCCTAGACCAGAGCAAGCCTTAATAGCCCATGCTCTCCATCTTTCTATAGACGCCATCTGGCATCACTTTTGGTTCTCTAATGTGAGAGGGTTCTTTCTGCCAAGCATGGAGGTGCCTTGAGCTTCTCTCAGATCTATGGGAGTCTGAGTGAGGAGTTGCATAGAGCAGTTAAAAAGGAAATAGGTCAAACTCAGTGAAAGTACACTTAAGATTTTGCACTTCATTTTACATAAATTTAACCACAAAAGAAAAATAAACTGAAAAAAAAGGGGGGAAGGAGGAGGAAAGGGAAGCAAGCAAGCCAGGAAAGGAAGCAGCTAAGGAAGCCAGGGAGCTCCCCCAAAGGAATTCTGTGTGGCAGCAAGAGTTTTCCTTTTACCCTCCCTAGCTCTATGGATGGCTTGTGCATCCCTGACTCATAAGTTCTTCTGCAAGGATGGGGAAGTGGTTAGACAGGGATTACTGAGTTTCCACTGGAGGTAAGAATGTGTAGCTAATGCTGACCTCTTGCAGTAGCTTATGAAAATGTGAATTTGGTTGTAGTTCAGAATATTTATTAGATACTATTATTATTTATCCCTCCAAATAAACAAAATACACTCACATAATGGGGAGGACATGACAGTTTTCTCAATGTTATGATTGGTTCTTTGAGTTCTACTTTAAATTCAGCTGTTTGTTGCATACCTCCTCTGCCAGGCATCATGTGAGTCATTTTTATACACGTTATCTCATTTTCATTCGCAGAATTATCATCCTCATTTTTACAAATGAAGACACCGAGGCTAGAGCAATAAACTAACTTGTAAAGTGTATACAAGAGAGTCTGAACTTGAGCATGTGTTTTAATGTCAAAGCCAAAGTTCTTTTAGTTTCACCATGCTGCCCAGCTTGTAATTTTGTACTTGTTTTAAGTTTTCATGAAAATGTATGAACACTCATCAAATCAGTACATGTGACAACATCTTCTTCATAAGCTCAAATTATGTAATTAATGACCAACTTTTTTTTTCTGTTCTTTTAGTCAAGGAAGAGAATAATGGCCCTTTGTTTTGGACAGACAAAGAGCCTAGAAGTCTGAATGAATCTTCTCTCAGGTGAGATGGTTGTTTGGAGTGTGTTTTTAACTTGCTGACCAAAACTTGTATTACATTTCAATTTGTTGATTTTTTAAATGCTTTTTCTCATCTAATGGCTTTGGACCAAGTTTTGCTTATCTCATATATGTAACAATGAAGAAAATATTTTGAGGAAACTCACTTTAAATTCAAATCTAGTTAGTTAAATAGTAAAGTATAATTTTTCTCATTTCAACTGAATATATAAATGTCACAAAATAATTGATTAAAATTAAATTCTAAAATATTTATTGAGTTCTGATTCTGTGCCATCAATACAAGGTATAGCATAATTCCTGTCTTTGAAAAGCTAATTCTAACCAGGATATATGATACTTGCATAAATAAAGATAATACAAAGTATACATGCTGTGTGTCATAAATGAGTATGAGCAAATTGTCAAAGAGATTTAAAGAGGGGAAGGATTATATTCAGTTGTGGGGAGAAATAAAGATGCCAGGTGACAGTTGGTAAAGGAATATTGTACATGGAGATAGAGATATTGCAGTTGGAGGGAGCAGCAGAAGCTACAACTGAGGCATGAAAAAATGGAATATATATTAGGAAAGGTAAACAGTCTAGTGTGATTTAAAAATTTAACACGATTACTAGATATAAGGTACAAAAGTAAAACTGGGCCCATATTTTAGAAAGTCTTAAATATCCAGATGAAGATTTCATATGTCACTTCATAGAGTATGAGAAAACTACTGAATGTTTTGAGCAGGAGAATGATATGATAAAAATTCTGTTATAGAAAATAATCTGATAGTTGTGCTTAAAGTGGACTGAAGCAGGGAGAGACCAAATATTGGTGAGAAGTAATGAGAATCTGAATTGGGCTAGTGGTAGTGGAGACAAAGGGATGGATGGGGAAGATATTTCAGTGGTAGAATCTACAAGACTATCAACTGATAGAACATGAGAGAGAGAGAAGGAGAAAGGGAGGGAGGGACGGACAGACAGACCACTGTGTTTCAAGCTGGGGTAACTGCAAAGTGATGCCTTTCAGAGAAATAAGGATGTCAGGACACATCAAGCCCAAAACTGGTTTAGACAGGTTAAGCTGGAGGATCAAGTGCGCCTCATCTGGTGGAGAAGTTAATCTGGCAGCTGGATTTTCAGTCTGTATGGTAGGAGAGAAGTCTGGGTATAGATTTAAAAAGGAGTATCCTAAACTGCATAAATCAAAGTATGATTCTGTTATATACTTCAAGTATCTGGACATTAGAAGGAGGAGCGGGGCATAGGATTCAAAGAGCTATGAGTCAAGAGATACATAAGCATGGGGAAAATTAATGTGGGTTTGGGGCCCTGAAAGACAGATTACGGCATGGGGGAAATAGCCGATTTAGGAAAACATTGCAAAATGCTGTAAAGGAAAAGTGAACTCTTAATTGAGGAGTATCGACAAAGCTGTGGTGTACCACGCTGTGCAATAATAAGTTAGGCTGCTAAGAAGGGGCCTCTGTACTTGCTCTTACTTTCACCTTTTCTTGCTGTTTGATCAAGATGATGTACGAGGTCAATTCTAAATCTAAATTTCATTATTATAACTTCTTCCTCACCAAATTTTTTGGTTTAGGAAGATTCTTTTTTCTACTGGGAACACATTACCAATTTGCTTTACAGAGTTTTAACTTTATACCAACTACTCTGGATGAGAAAATTGGTGGAAAGTTGGCTACAGTAACTGATTTTCTTAAAGGTTTTTAGAGCTTAAGGAGTTAGCTTTAAAAATTGTCCCTCAAGGCTTTGGAAGTTCTGATTATATTTGAAGCTGAAACATCAGAAAACTTATCGGCTAAGACAGGGTTAACTAGTAAGTGTTGTTTCACACTGCAAACCATAGCACACCAAGGTTCCTTTGTAATGTTGGTATGGGGGTAGTGACCAACAGCCTGTACAGCCGAATTCCTTCCACTAGGGTTTCTTGATGGGGCGTTATTGGCATTTTGTGTGGGACCCTTCCTGGTTGTGCAGAATGATCCCCCATGTTGTGGGATTTAAGCTTCTCTGGCTCTTGCCCACTAAATGCTAGTAATGCTCCCATTTATTGTAGCAACTAAAAAAAAAACAGTTTCTAGCTGTTGTCAAATTTGTTTGCATTTCCCTATCCTGTGCTCTTTTCCCTTTTCTGTAAAATCCTCTCTCTAGCCTTCCCTAGTAAGCATCCTTGCTCTCCCTATAAAATTATGCACTTGGGTTTTTATCAACCCCACAGTGTGATAACTTAGTAATATAAATTTAAAATGGTTTCCTCTTCACAGGGATTTCCATTTTAACAGGCATCAAAGCCGGAAGCAAGGAAAGCTCTATTAGAATTTTGCTATAGCAACTATGATTGACATACAATAAACTACAATATTTGAAGTGCACAATTTGATACCTTTTTTTCATATGTATACACCCATGACACAATTACCACATATCTATCTATCACCTCCTCCCTGCACCATGGCTTGAAAACTTTTTCAAGGCTGTAAGCTGGGGCAATTGTTAGTTCTCACCTTGTTTCAAACCTCTCAGAGCTCACTGTTTTATGTTGTCTGATGTCCCCAACTTTAAAAGCTGTTGTTTATATATATATATACACACACACACTCACATACACATACATACATACATATATATGTATATTATATATGTGTGTGTGTGTGTGTATACGCACACACACACACACACACATATGTATATATATATTTTTTAGGTTTTTGGTTGTTTTAGGTGGGAGGTATATCTAGTCTCCATTAATCCATCTTGGTCTGAAGCAGAAGAAAACTAGTACAATTTTAAGCTTATATCAGTATATATGGAAGAAGATTTGGATTGGTATCAGATCCTTCCTGGAGCCAGTGAAGGTTCCACAATTTCCATAAAAGAAGGCAGCAAAAGGGGGAACCAGAGGACTCATTTACTTGGAATATATGCTTATTTGGAGTGTCTGGAAACTTTTTTTTTGGTAGACACAAATGCATTGTTTTTATGTAGCATATATATATCTATGTAGCAATATATATAGATATAGATAGATAGATAGATAGATATATTTATGGTAGCTCCTTCAGGGTGGGAGTAGGGGGCTATTATTGGAGAACCTAGGGAGTGAGGGGCACTAAAGCCTCCTCCCCTTGGCCTCTGCCTTTGGAAGCCTGCTATTTTAGGCAAATTCAGCTCACCAACTCACCAGTTCTAGACCATAACAAAGATAATCCTGAAGCTCAGAAGGACCTCAATTATCAAAGATTCACACATGCCTAATATTCTGCCTTTTACAAAAAGATAAAACCACACTTTCAGAAAACTTTCTAAACAAAGTATTCTAAACAAAGTTAGTTAAAGAGTCAATTCAATAGGAGAGCTCAAGAGCTCATTTCTCCAAGCACTCCTGCTGTTTGAGGGTTGACTGGCTATTGGGCATGAACTTGTTTGAATAAGCCAGATTCTGGGACACTGTTGCTGCTTCCTTACGTGTTGTTACTGCTTTGAGATTAGTTTATGCTCTTAACAATGTGAGGAGACAACCCTAAGAATCTGGAGTGTGGGAATAAAGCTGACCTGGAATAATGGCAAAAATCCATGGTTTTTTGAAGCCTGGCCTTGAATCAGAATCTCTCAAGGGCTCATGGAGAATTCAGACTCCTAAGCTCTACCCAAGACTACTGAATCCTAAACTTTAGGAATGAAATTCAGCAATCTGATTTTGGTAGCTCCCTAGATGATTCTGTTAGCTAACTACCAAGGTTTAGGAATTCCTGGGCTAGGTAGTCAGTTTACTCCTGGATTATTGAGACTCTTGAGTTAACTTTTCTCTGTCTCCACTGCCAGTACCCCAGTACAAAGCTATTATCATCTCTCACCTGGGCTTGCAACACTTCTAATTACCATCTTCACCTCCATTCTTGGTATCTGCTGTGGTCTGAATGTTTGTGTCCCCCACGAATTCATATGCTGAAATTACAACCTCCAAAGGGATGGTTCTAGGAGGTGGGAACTTTGGGAGGTACTTTAATCGTGAGAGTGGAGCCCTCATGAATGGCATTAGGGCCTTATAAAAGAGATCACTCACCGCTTCCAGTGTGTGAGGACACAGTGCAAAGGCGCTGACTGAACCAGGAAGAGGTTTCTCACCAGAAGGCAACCATGCTAGCACCCTGATTTTGGACCTTCCAGTTTCCAGAACTGTGAACAATACATTTTCTGTTGTTTATAAGCCACCTAGTCTATGGCATTTTGTTACAGCAGCTTGCACAGGCTAAAACAGTATCTCTCTGCCCCACCTGAATTCATTATCCACCTTAAAACCAAAGTGATCTTTTCCAAATATCCCTTCCTTGCTTAAAACCTTTCAGTGGTATCCCACTGCACAGAAAATAAAACTTTTTGCATGTCTAGACAACCATGCAAGATATGGCCTTTGTTTACCTCTATGGCTTTATCTCAAGTCCCTTCATCCTTTGCTTACCACATTGGCTAGAGCACCTCAAGCTTTTACCAGCTCACGGCCTTTGTACCTCCTTTCCCCTCTTAACGTTGCTTTTCACACATGGCTCACTCTCATCCTTCCAGTCTTAGCTTGAATGCCCACATCTCAGAGAAGTCTTGCCTTGAGTACCCAATCTTTAGTATACCACCTTCCAATAGACACGCACAGGTTTTATCAGAGTATTTTATTTCATAGCACTTTCATAAACTATAATTACATGTGTGTTGTTTATTGTCTGTCTTCCCACTAGAATGTAAGCTACACGAGGGCAGGGACCTTGGTATTCTTGCACACTGATGTGTTTCTAGTGCTTGGTCCAGGACTTGGTACATAGTAGGTGCTTAATATTTGTTGAATTATTAATCATATTCTTTACAACCTAGCCTTACTTGCATTATATAGGCTTTGGGGAGAGCAATTTGATCTAAATCCATGTAATAACAAACCATGACTTGAAGGGGTTGATGTACTTCTTCTGTTGCCCTGAGTGCT